TGGAAATGGCGGCTTATGTCTTTTGAATGCAGATGCTGGTGGGTGGAAAGTGAGGACCAGGCGTTCTTATTGATGTTTTCGGAGGGAAGAGAAGGCGTGAGCACAAAATTTTGAAGGGCATTGTTAACAAATTGGTTTTCTTTTGGAAAACCCAAGCTTTGTGCTTTTTCCAGTCTTTACTACTGAGATGTGTCATCAGTATACATTAATAACTATCTGTTACAGAATGATCCATAACTGGCACTGCCATCAATGTGACCACTGCACTCTTGAATCAGACTATTCTTCGATGTGAGCCTGCCACAAACTCTGTCCCTGTTAAAAACAAATGTTATTACTTCAGCGTCCAATGTTTCTTTTATGTTTCAGACAGCACATGGAGTGTTTGAAGCATTCTTGCAGCATGCCATCCAATATGCCACCAATCATGTTTATATGTGTGACCTTTGCACTCAGCGTGGCTTCATCTGCCAGATCTGTAATAGCAATGACATCATCTTTCCTTTTGAGTTTGAAACAACTTCAAGGTAAGCAGAAGTGTCCTTGCTATTATATAAACTGTTGTCATCATATATTTACTTCATGTCTGAGAACCAGCGCAATATGGGAAAATGCATAAGCTGCAGCTACATTTGGGGAAACTGCGCAAAATGTTACTCATTAAAGGAAGCAATGTTAAAGATTTGCAGTTGTTGGTTCATTTTTGCTCTGGAGTGGAGTACACTTGAGAGAACTTAACCTGAGCAGATTATCGGTGAGTAAATGACCTTGATAGAGCTGTCAACAACAGCTTTCATCACATTGGTCATTGAGAGAGGACTGTTGAGGGCAGTATTGTGCAGAGTCAAGTCTGCGCTGTTTGGACGGACCTGAGCATTTTTCCACTTAGTCAAGCAAATATTAGTATAGAAGTTTTACTAGATCAGCTTGGCTGATATTGCTGCTCTGTAGCATGTCTTCAGCATTGCAGTTAGTATGCTATCAGTGGTCCATAGCCTTTCTTGGCCATTGCACTCAGCAATTTCTTGTATCATGTAGAATTAACTGAAAACTGGCATCTGTGATTGTGAGACTGCAGGGAAGGTCAAGATGGATCATCCATCTTGACACCTCTGGTTGAAGGTGCACTCAAATGTTCAAGCCTTGTCTTGTGCAGTCAGGTGTCGGGCTCTGCCATCATTCAGAATGAGATATTCCAATGTTAGTTGTTTAATTAAGCACCCTCGCTCATGATTAGATATGACAGGACGGCGATGCTTTGATCTGTTCCATTGATTAAGGAATTTCTTAATATTGCCTGTCATTTCTGCTGTATAGCATACATACAGTCCTGTGATATAGCTTCACAGGGTTGGTAACTCATTTTTGTAACGTATGCCTGGTACTGCCCTGCCATGCTATGCTGTCCTATATTCCTCTTTGAATCAGGGTTGATCCTACAATTTATGGTAATAGTAGAATGGGAGATACGCTGGACCATGGGCTGTTGTTGAATGCCTGTCGAGTTCTCATGGTTGTTCAGTTCTGAATATATCCTATTTGGCATGACAGTATTGCCACACACCATGATAAAAAGGGTGTCCTCAATGGGATCTTGTGACTGTCTAGTAGTTTTGTGTCCATCATTGCTAATGCTGGCTTTTCATTCTAGCTTTAATTAATTAAATGAATTTAAATCCATCAAGTTCTGTGTTGGAATATGAATTCATGTTTTCAGTGCACTTTTTGTGTTAGCAGTCTAGTTGTGTAACCACTGTTATTATTCCTTGCTTCTTATTTGTCCTTTAAGGTGAAGGTGGCCATATTTTTCACTTGGTATGGATGTTGAATTCTGGTGGTTATGCAGATGGCTGCTAAGGCCAATTTGTACCTGGAAGATTGTGCAAACAGGATATTGCAGATAATTGCTTGAATAGATTACTGGCTCAGGGTTGTTTCTTTTTTTTTTCCACTGCTTCTGATGTGTGTTTCCATATCAGGTTTTGGTTTGCTGGACTTGCAATCCTTCATTCCCAAGCTGACATTCAAAGTCTGCCAAAGGCTATACTTGCTTTGCCAATTGCACGTTTCTCATTGTCAACACACAATGCGAACATGTTCTGCTGAGATAAATAAATGTCCATTGCTGAAAGGTTTGGTCAGTGACCAGGTCTTTGGGCTTAAAGTAGAATATTCCTGGAGCAGAGATAGTAGGAACTGCAGATGCTGGAGAATATGAGATAACCAGGTGTAGAGCTGGATGAACACAGCAGGCCAAGCAGCATCAGGAAGCGTCTAGGCCCAAAACGTCAACCTTCCTACTCCTCTGATGCTGCTTGGCCTGCTGTGTTCATCCAGCTCTACACCTTGTTATGTCATATTCCTGGAGCAGACTGGTACACTAGTTCAGTTTCCTTTGTGCTGTTCATAACATCAAAGTTGTCACATGCATTGGGAAACAAGTCCAAGTCGCACTGCATTTTCAACTTTGAGCTCACTGTTTGTGCACAGGCCTCATGATAAGACCTCAAAGTATGGTGGAGCAGAACATGCTAAAGAGATTTCATGTTAACAGGCAGCCATATTTAACTCCATTAATGACTGGTGTTGCGAGCCTGAACCAGATTCCCAATTTTTTTATAAGCCAGTCAGGGACTATAACATCTGTTATAAAGACATCATTTGAAATCTCTATTAAAGAATGAAGCCCAAATTGGCACAAATTTAAATAGTTAGATTTTTTACTACATAAGAGTCAATAAACAGCCCATAATACCCTGCAGTATGCTCTGACAGCCAGAATCAACATGAGGCAAACATGAATTAACAGGCAAGCTACGGCTGAACACATCACAAATTGCATATTGTCGATAGCAAGAACTGCAGATGCTGGAGTCAGAGACAATACAGTGTGGAGCTGGAGGAATGCAAGGTCAGGAATGGAGGTCAAGCAGCAGGAAAGTTGACTTTTTGGGTCAGGACCCTTCTTCAGAAATGGGGAAGGAGAAGGGAGCTGGGAAATAAATAGGAGAAGGGTTGGGAATGGTGATGGGTGGATGCAGGTAGGGAGTGGTGAGGATTGGTCAGTGGGATAGGTGGGGCAGATGATGGATAGGTTGTCAGGTCAAGGGGGCGGGGATGAGAGGGAAGTTTGGATGTGGGATGAGGCTGGGGGTGGGGAGATTTTTTTAAAATTGGTGAATTCTATGTTAAGGCCATCGGGCTGTAGGCTCCCAAGGTGGAATATGAGGTGTTGCTCTTCCGGTTTGCGTGTGGCATCATTGTGGCACTGGAGGAGGCCCAGAATGGGCATGTCATCAAGGGAATGGGAGGGGGAGTTAAAATGGTTGAAGTAGTTGTCTTTGGCCTCCACCCTGAAAAATCACCAACACATCAGTACAGATTCCCTCACGCTGGGAATGAGTCAAAAGATTCCACACCTTCTGGGATGCAAAGAAGCATGCCATCATGAAGCTTTTGAACTATAATGATGAATTTGTGTTACCTTCAAAGAATCTCATGGCTGACTTGTGTCAAAAGCCTTGATCAGGTCAACCAGTGTTATGTAAAGAAAAATTTTTTGGTTTTAGCATTTCTTTCGGAACGGTCTTAACTACAGTGCCATGTTGGTGGTTCCTCGATCTCTCTCTGGCAGCGACTGCTGGTTGCGATGTTGTACTAAGTGGTTCACATGTATTGTGGTAAAGATGTTGTTCATGATGAAGAGGCATGAAATTCCTCTCTGCTTGCCACAAGATTGTTGAGTTCCTTCTCAAATTGTACAGGCAGGCAATGGAGACCTATTTGTGTTCTTTGGGATGGTTCCTTGTTCCCGCATGGACTGAAAGAGTTCACCGAGCTTCTTGACCAGAAATTGACCTCCAGCCTTGTAGACCCTAGCTGGGAAAATATCAGCTGCTGAAGCTTCTGCTGCTGGACAGGAGTTTGATTTGTATTTGTCTTTTCTAACTGTGTGGGAGCATCATCAAGAACACGGTCGGAACATTGTGACAGCCAGTTGACTGTATCTTCGTTGATCAATAAAGTTCACTCGATGCAGTTAAGGCACTGTGCCCATCATTCTAGAATTTGGGCTTATTTTATGAGTAATGTTGACTTGTCAATACGCAGGATTAGTGATGAATCAGTATATTGGGTTCCACAGGCAGCAGATTTCAGTTGAATGTTTTAACAAGTAGAGAAAAGTTGTGCTTAATGCAGTTAGATGCACAATAAAACTGTATATCCATTCTGTTCAAACAATGTACTTCAGCCTCATTCTGTCAAAATTACTCCTTAAAGCTCAAATGACACATTTTCTTGATGCTTTATGGTTTCTGAGTTTGACTCTTCGTGTTGTGTTCAATTCCTGATAGTTTTGTATCAATAAGCAATGAGAAATATATTGGAAATATTTCATTCAGTAACATTAGAAAGATTTGCATCCTCTCAATTTGAATTGAACTTAGAACTCTACTCTCAGAGACATGCATTTTTTGAAATTGCCTATTTCAAACTATCCTTTGTTCAAATAAGTAATGAACCACATGCTATGTAGTGCTATTCTTTTTCCTTTGTATAGAAAAGCTCAGATTGACATTGTAACTCAGTTTGTCAGTATATACAGGCCTTTCTGTCATATGAAGCATCAGGCTATTTATAAGATATTAAGTTGCCAGTTCATGTACTTTTTAAAGCTTCACTCCATAATACTTTAATTTGCCATTTTTTTCATTCTCGTGCATTCTGTTGAGTTACTAATTCCATTACATACATGATTTTTTTCTTCTTTGGTTTACTACTTAACATATTTCCTACTCAACTCTATATCTTATACCTTACCTTTTATAAGGATGGTTTTCTGCTCCAACTAATGCGGTGGTGTCTTTCCATCTAGATTAGCTGATCAGAAATGAATTATCCACTAAGCCCATTCACATAGTCAAGTGGCAAAAGTCACTACTCTCTGACCTCCCATGTTTTTTGTTTTTTTTTTATTTTTCTTGATCCTACACTTCATAGCTAAAAGGTTTTGGATAGCTAGGATGCAATGGTGATTGAGACAGACACCAAAAGATTCAATATTAGATGAACTAATTTTACATTTGATATTAGACACAGGTTTATTGGCTTTTGAAAATAATGTATGGCACTTGAGATCTCTTTGAACTCCAGTTTTATTTCCATAACTTGTGCTCAAAAGTATCACACTCAAAAGAAGAAAAATTAGCACGTTCAATGCAGAAGTTATTTGCAGATAATTGACAACCCCACAACTTATCTAATTGTCTCTTTCAATGCTCAGGTGTAAAGAATGCAAGACTGTCTTCCACAAGGATTGCAAGGCTGGGGTCTTATCATGTCCCCGCTGTGTGCGCAAACAAAAATACCAGCAGAGCAAGATGAAGTATTAACTATTGATCTACATTGAAGACCACACACGTGGGAGAAGATGAACTTTGTACTGTGTATGGATCTTTGAATTTCTGCCGCTTTCAAGGGCAACACAAACTCTTAACAGAAATGGTGCAATATAAACTGGTCTGCAACCCACTTCTGAAGGCAGAAACTTTCACTCATTTCCTTTCAAGAGAACCATCAGTCTTATTGAGGTGGTGTGCAGCTTCTTTTCCTCTGAGAATAATGTAGGTTCAGAATGTTAGACACTGGTGCACTGCTAAGATGGGATCTGTTACTAAGGAAGTTGCTTGCAGCTGGATTTCAATTTCACACACTTAATATTATGCTGTTAGAAAGTGTTTGATGTGTAGTCTCATTCTCTTTTTTTGTAATGCTTCAATCATTTTAAAATCCATATGTATAGATTTGTTATAACATGTAAATTATATCACCAATTTAAGGATATTGAATGTACACCACATGTACAGTATGTGTACATACGGTATTCATGGATTAAAATCGCTGTAAAAAGATGTGTTAGACCTTGCTGCTTTGAATTGCACTTTGCAAACTAACCCTTGTAAATACACATTAAATATTTAAATTTCCACCAACATGGCAGGACGTCTGCTGTATATTAACACTTGTGCCAACGGGGCATGTGCACTTTACTTGGTACATCTGACACTAATCAGAGATTTCATTTTTTTTCTATTTTAAAAGATTAACTGTAATACAGATAGCAGATCTGCTTCTAAAGCATTTGACTTGAGAATGTTTGAGTTACTGATCATTATCGTCCTGATGCATTTGTGTAGCTGGGTATATTTTAGTGCCATTTCTGAAACATTCTGCATAAATATGGACAAATTTAATATTACCTATCTATAGTTTTCAAGAAATTGTTTATTTCCAATGGGAGTTTATACTTGACTGTCAAAATTGGTCCAAAATGGTTTCAGAGGTGCTGCATTTGCAGGACCCTTTCATTCCTGATCTGTGTTTAAATTCATCAGCCCTGCAGAAACATATATACACCTGGCAGACAAATCCAGACTCAGTTCATCTTTAATAGGAAGGAAGAAAATCCAAAAGCAGCAAAGTTTTTTTTGAGCTGCAGTGTTTAATTTCACTGACGTAGATAACTATACAAGAATCTAGATATTTCAAGCCATTCTGGATTTATACAGTGTGTTATAGGTTTGTAAGAGCATTACTTCTTGCGGTCTTCCAACTATGGACATAACAGCCATATAATAATCTTAAACTTTGTACTTTTCTTTTTGTATTATCAGCTTTTTGGCATACAGACTTTATGCTTTCATTCAATCAAAGATCATGACTAGATTTACTAAACAATCTCTGTAGACAAATTCTATTTTCTTAAGAACAGAATGTTGTCATTAAAGATTTGATTTTTAAATGTGCAAAGAATATTTGGACTCTGTTTTAAACCCAAACTGTGTGACAATCTTGGCAGCAAGATTGAACTAACTTGTTGGCAGGGTGTATTTCAGTGTAATCTCTGACTGTGTTCCCTCTACATATCATTACATAGGGTAGATGGGGCAGAAACAGGCCATTCAGCCCAATCAATCCAGTTTGATGTTGATTCTCCACTCCAGTATACTCCCAGCTTTATGTTGTCTGAATCTACCATTGTCAACCATCTGTTCCTTTCGACCTTTCTAGAACTTGGGAACTCTGCAGCCCTCCGAACTCCGTATTGAGTTCAATAATTTTAGGGCCTGAACTCTCCCATGTCCTAGCTCCCTACCCCACATAACCAGACCTTGTTATCACATAGCCTGGCCATTACACACTACCTATTGTTAACTACTAACAGTGTCCATTAACAGCTATTCACCTCCTAGCCAGATTGTTATCAACTCATTTGTCTGCCCAACTGTTCTTCTGTCTGAGGAAGGGTCACTGGACCCGAAACGTTAACTCTGATTTTTCCTTCACAGATGCTGCCAGACCTGGGCTTTTCCAGCAACTTTGTTTTTGTTCCTGATTTACAGCATCTGTAGTTCTTTCGGTTTTTATGCCTTTCTAGTTTCTCTGTAAATGTATCGTTACTTTTTGTTTCAGGCATTCTACATGATAGCATGTTCCATATTCTTGCCACTCTCTTTTCTGTGCAAAAGCTTCTGCTGAATCCCCAGTTAGATTTATTGGCGATTACCCTAATGGTCTTTATTTAGGCTCTCCCATGAAAGAACCTGTCCTGTCTATTTCCACTCTATCACAAACTTCCATAATTTTAAAATCCTCTAATTGATCATTTCCCAGCCCTCTTATTTTTGAAGAGACTCAGACTGTCAATCCTTTCATGATATACAATATATACCTTGATATTTCTGGTGTCATCTTTGTAAATCACTTCAGTACGATCTGCCTCTAAAACCTTTCTGTAATTTGATGGACAGAACTGCACAATATTAAAAAAAAACAAAGTTCAATGTATGTTTAGATAACTTCACTGCTTTTCAATGCTATCCCTCGTGCTTGGTTTGTTTTTCTTAATGGCCTTGCTAACTTGTCGTGATCGATTACAGAATTGTCATTGCACAGAAGGAGGCCATTCCTGTAAGGAGGAAGGACAAGGATGGCAAGGTAAGGGACCCTCGGATAATGAGGGAGGTTGTGAATTTAGTCAAAAGGAAAAAAAAAGCATATGTAAGGTTTAGGAAGCTAAAATCTGACAGGGCCCGTGAGGAATAGAAGGAAAGCAGGAAAGTACTCAAGCAGGGAACTAGCAGAGCAAGAAGGGGCTACAAAATGACTCCAGCAAATATGATTAAAGAGAATCCCAAGGCATTCTATAGATACGTTGAAAACAAGAGGATAACTAAGGAGAAGATAGGACCACTTGAGGATAAAGGAGGGAACTTGTGCTTCGAGGCAGAGGAAGTGGGTGAAATCCTAAATGAGTACTTTGCATCAGTATTCACCCTTGCCACAATACTGAAACAAGCCTTACTGAAGTTGCAATCACATGCAAGGTAACTGTGATCATGGTAATTTATCCTTCCTCATCATCTTAGCCAGTCTATAGTCTTCGACATGGTTGATTGCTTCACCCTGCTTGAATGCCTCTCATCCACTGGCCAAATGAGTAGGTCTGCATTCACTTGATTGCATTCCTATCTATCTAGTCATAGCCAGAGCTTTTCTTACCTCTCTTTCACCATTCGCTCTGCTTTCCCCGGCTCCGGTACTTTTCCTCATGACTCCGTGACTACTACTCTCAATGTCCTCAATCTCCCCTCCTTGGCACACATCCTAATCGACATTGTTCAAAATGAACAGAAATATCATCTTTTTAATATTGGGAAGACTGAACTGCATATGATCCTGACTGCAAGTTCCTCCATAGCAAACATTTCTACACTTCTCCCTGGTAACTTTGGTATCATGTGTGACTCCCCCAAATGCAAATCCAAACACAAATTTACTCCACCACCAAGAACAGATACTTCTGATGCTGCCTGACCTACTATGTTCCTCCAGCTCCACACTGTGTTGTCTCCAGAATATCCTGTTTGTATTAAAGAATTATAATGTCTGTGTTTCTTTGCTGTGAAGAGCTAATTTTTCAGACATTATTTCCTGTTCCGTGTGGCTGATTGGGGAGTTTCCTAGCCTGTAGGACTGTCAAATCAACTTAGAAAATTGCCCAATAATCTCACCTCACTTTACGGCTCTACTTCAATGGAAAGCAATGTTGTTTGAAGTGAGCTGGCTTTCTCGCTGATTGTTAGTTGAGTTATTCCATTCCTATCTGTCCAAGTGGTTTAGACAGTTGAAGCATAGGGAGCTCTTTTAATACCCTGACCAACATTCCTGCCTTAACCAGCGCAACTGAACCACAGATCAACTCATCGGTAATCTATTTACAGGGTATTGCTATGGGCTATATTCAGACACAAGATAAGTCAGGAATAAATAGCCTAATAAATGTATATTTTGAAACGTAAAGTTTGTGAATTGATTCACATACTTAAGAACATTAAAAAAGTAGGTGCACATCATTTGTTTGAGTGAATAAATAACATGCAAACACTGCACACTCAGCTGTTCAAAACATTCATGTTAAATTGTTCCCTTTAACTGCAGTTTTGATATCTACTCTTGGCACCAATAACATCAGTCTGATGATCATGGGGATAGTAAGAACTGGAGTCAGAGATAACAGAGTGGAGCTGGAGGAGCACAGCAGGCCAGGCAGCATCAGAGGAGCAGGAAAGTTGACGTTTTGGGTCGGGACCCTTCTTCAGAAATGGGGGAGAGGGAGGGGAGCTCTGAAATAACGAGAGAGAGGAGGGGTGGGGCTGGGGAAGGTAGGTGGGATGGTGACAGGTGATTGCATGTAGGTAGTGAGGTCGGAGGAGCGGATAGGTGGGAGAGAAGATGGACAGGTTGTGTTAGGTCAAGGAGGCGGGAATGAGAGGGAAGGTTGGTCGTGGGATGAGGCTGGGGGTGGGGAGATCTTGAAACTGGTAAAGTCCACATTTAGGCCATTGGGCTATAGGATCCCAAGGCAGAATATGAGGTGCTGCTCCTCCAGTTTCCAGGTGGTGTTATTGTGACACTGGAGGAGGCCCAGGGAGTGGGAGGGGGAGTTGAAATGGTTTGCGATTGGAAGATGTTGTCATTTGTTGCGAACAGAGCGCAGGTGCTCTACAAAGCAGTCTCCAAACCTCTGCTTCTAAAATGAAAGACTGAAGAATGACCTAATCGAAATCGTTAAAATTATGAGGTTATTTGATAGGAAAGACATGGAGAAAGTGTTTCCGCTTGGAAATTCCAAAATTAGGAGCCATAAATGTACCATTGTCATGAATAAATCCAATAAAGAATTCAGAGAAAACTTTCTTACACAATGAAAGATTAGAATGCAGAATTTGTTTCTGTGCGAAGTACTTGAGGGGAATAACATAAATGGTTTTGTAAAGGCAGATAGGTTTAGATGAAACAGGGCGGGGAATGGAACGTGACAAGTCAAAACATTCACACACACTATGGGCTGACTGGCTTGTTCCTTATACGTGTTATGTAATTAGTCATGTGATCTCAGCTAACATGACAGATCAGGTGGCATAATTGTCCTCAGGATCTTCTATACTGTGGAGGAGAGAAGCTTTCCACAACTCCTAACGTTTATTACAGTCAGTGGCAGAATGCAAACTGCTCAGCTATGAATAAGGTTGGGTTTGCTACAATGTCAGCCACAGTGAACAGCTCGCTGCTTAGGCTTGGAACTGAAGTTAGCCACCCACATCTCAACTATCAGCACCCGCATGGGCCCAAGCTATGCCTGCCTCTTTGTAGGATACGTGGAACAGTCCCTCTTCCGCAGCTACACTAGCCCCATCCCCCACCTCTTCCTCCGTTATATCGATGACTGTATCGGCGCCGCCTCGTGCTCCCACGAGGAGCACGAACAGTTCATCCACTTCACCAACACCTTCCACCCCAACCTTAAGTTCACCTGGACCATCTCTAATACCTCTCTCTCCTTCCTGGACCTCTCTGACTCCATCTCTGGTAACCACCTGGAAACTGATATCTATTTCAAGCCTACAGACTCCCACAGCTACCTAGAATACACCTCCTCTCACCCACCTTCCTGCAAGAATGCTATCCCCTATTCCCAATTCCTTTGCCTCCGTTGCATCTGCTCCCAAGATGAGGCATTCCACTCCTGGACATCCCAGATGTCCTCGTTTCTCAAGGACGGCGATTTCCCCTGCACAGTGGTCAGAAATGCCCTCAACCACAATTCTTGCGTTTCCCGTACCACAGCCCTCTCACCCCTCCCCGCAATAACAACAAAGACGGAATTCCCCTTGTCCTCACGTATCACCCCATCAACCTCCAGAATCAACGCATCATTCTCCGCCACTTCCGCCACCTGCAATCTGACCCCACTACCAAGGATATATTTCCCTCCCCAGCCTTATCTACCTTCCGGAGGGACCGCTCTCTCCGCGACTCCCTCGTCCACTCCACACTCCCCACTAGCCCCACTACTCCTGGCACTTTTCCCTGCAACCGCAGGAGGTGTTACACCTGCTCCTACACCTCCCACCTCACCTCCATCCCAGGCCCCAAGAAAAGCTTCCACATTAAACAGATGTTCACCTGCACATCTGCTAATGTGGTATATTGTGTCCACTGTTCACGATGTGGCCTCCTCTACATCGGGGAAACCAAGCGGAGGCTTGTAGACCGCTTTGTGGAACACCTACGCTCGGTTCGTGACAAACAACTGCACCTCCCAGTCGCAAACCACTTCAACTCCCCCTCGCACTCCTTGGATGACACGTCCATCCTGGGCCTCCTCCAGTGCCACAATGTTGCCACCTGAAGGCTGGAGGAACAGCACCTCATATTCAGCCTGGGAACCCTGCAGCCCAATGGTCTCAA